CAAAAGAATTGGGGCTATCATAACATCAAATGCCTTAAGTAAACAGTCCAACGGGATATTATGATTTTTAGATTTTTTTAAAAGACAAAACATTGCCTTGGATGCGCTTGCTGCAAGGTTTTTTATTGATAGATTAAATTTCCTATTTCTACTAAATGTCACTCCAAGATAAGTATAGTTATCTACAATATCAATTTGAGATTGTTCAAAGACAAAATTAAGTTTACTATTCTTAGCAGGGCCACTTCCAAAAATTAAGACTTTCGTTTTATCAAGATTCACTTCTAATTTCCAGATTTTACAGTATTTGCTAAAATAATCTATGGTACTCTGTAGTTCGGATGCGGAATCAGCAAACAGGACAGTGTCGTCGGCATAAAGAAGTACAATAAATGATAGACATAACTGTATGTTTACATTCTCGAGCATAACACTTTTACAACTGTCATCGATGAGAAATTGTTCTAAATCATTTATGAATAAACAAAATAAAAGAGGCGAAAGATTTTCCCCTTGGCGGACGCCCGAATAACATTGAAAATATTCTGAGAACTTATCATTTGAACATACACAAGATTTGATATTTGCATACATGTTTTGTATAAGCGTAAAAAATTTACCCGTAATTCCATTGTTAACTATTTTATGCCAAAGTCCAATCCTCCATACATTATCAAAAGCTTTAGAAAAATCAATGAACGCACAATATAATTTTCTTTTACAGGTCTTTAAAATCTGAGTAAGCATGTTCAAAACAAATATGTTGTCGTTTGTGGAATGTTCTTTCCTAAAACCAGCCTGCGCAGGGGTTAAAATATTGTTTGTTTACAAGAAAATGTTCAGTCTGTTGTTCAATATACTAGTGAAAAGCTTTCAAAAGCAGCTTAAAATAGTGATTGGTCTATAGACATTGGGGTCTAATTTCTGGCCTTTAACTTTGTATATAGGTCTGATAGTGCCAGTCAACCATGCTTCAGGCATTATTCCTGTGGAGAATATCAAATTGAAATAATCAACAAACAAAGGACCAAGTAGATCAGAGGAGTCAATAAGATAGTCATTTTCAATGCCATCAATACCAGAAGATTTATTTCGTTTTAGCTTTTTGATAGCATGTGTCACTTCTATCAAGGTAATATCATCATTTAATATGTGATCATCATAATCTTTAATTTCTTGATCTATTTCACAATCAGGAGTAGTCTGTTTACTGTTGATATGCTTGAAATGTTAAAAAAATTCTTTTATGTCTGGTATTTCAGAATTATCATATTTGTTACTTTTTGTTAGTATTTTCCAGAATTCTTTAGGGGAATGATTTTGGTTTTTTTCTCACCAAGTGAGAGAATTCATTTTTATACTTGTTTATATGTTTATTCAGACATTTCTTATATTCTTTTGAACATCGGCGATATTCAGCCTTATTAGAATTCGTCTTACTTTTAAAATACCAACGTTTTGATTTTTGAAAGCATTTGCGATTTTCTCGACATTCTTTTCCAAACCAAGGCTTATCATTGCAATCTCGTTTCGACACTGGTGGAGGCGAGCGTCTCACACCAAATGTTGCACGTGCTGCGTCAGCCAGAAGGTGCGCTACCCCAGAGGCAAAGTCATTGACTGCACGTACTGGGTCGTCGTGACTTGATGTTGATTGCAATAAATGGGTTAATTCCAGGACAGAGTTTTTGTTAATATTATTTACAAATGTTTTTTGCTTCATTTATGTCATACCGCTTTGGTTTTGTAGAAACTTCTTTTTGGTGAATTGTTTGTTACGTTTTCCCGCCTTTTCTCAGGTGGTTTTGAGTTAGAGTTTAATCCTATATTTAATGAGAAAGTGATGGGAGAGTGAACATCTGAATACAAAGGTGAAAAATCAATAACATCAAAATCAACAAAACATGGAAGACATTGTGGCGAGGATAAAACATAGTCAATTAAACTTGAGTCATTACATGTCACTTTACCTTTATTCTTATCTTTGTATAGTCTCCCATTGCGTATAAACATATTAGTGGTTTTACAAAGCTCTATGAGCTTAAGTCCTGAAGCATTAACCTTTCCTAAATCTTGGTTAGCTCTAGTTATAGGAGAGAAGAGGCATAAAGAATATTTTCAGGTTAAAAAATATCTGTCATAGTTTCAATATCAATATCAAGTTCTTCAATTATATGCTTGTCAACTAGGGCTGGGACGGATACTCGGGTACTCGAATCCGGGTCGGGGTACAGCTGGAATCGAGTCCTATTTCAAGGAATCGAGTACCCGGAAAGGGAGAGAACTCAGTAATGACAAGGGCAGGTAACTCTAACCTAGAGCAATATGGACGACACGCATGCTAAGTTGAGTGTTTGGGCTCAATTTGAGCTTGATGCAAATGGCAAGAGAACCATATGCCGACTCTGTGGTATCATGTCTGAAATTGATAGTACAGTCTGCTTATGGTTTTGAGATTTATCAGTGTTAGACCCTGCAAGTGAGTTCTACTGAAGTGGTGAAGGTGTGGGACTTGCGCTACTCCTGGGCTTCATCCCTTACGAAGCTGACACGCCAAGATCAGGATATACTTAATCTCATAATTTAACACAGTTACAAATTTGAAGACCCATACGGTTTTTCAATCTAATATGTCAATCTACTGCGGAAGCTGTACAAGGTCAATGCAAAAACATCTTGCACTAAAACACAACCTAAACAATAAACGTGTTCATTACATTGTGTACTTGTGTTCATTGCTTATCAAGCTTTTAAGATTACATGTACATTTCTATTTTATTTCAATTTCATGAAACACAGTTTTTACATTTGCGTTTAACATGAATACATTGACTATTAAAGAGATTGCAATTAAATGATTGAATGTGTTGGGAATATAAATTAAAACTAAGGAATTAACATTCTGATTTGCAAATACAATGTTCGACTGGTTATCATTACAATAAGAAGGAAGATGATCAGAAATAGAAGCAGAACTCACGTAACATATACATTTTATAGTTTAACAAATATTAATCAGCATACAGTTATTCCAATGAAGATAGATACAATTTTAGAATATCGATTTAACAATAGTTTTGTTTTTCATTTAATAGGGAAACTGTAATGCAACTGAGTTGCGCAACAGAGCAAAATGACCAGTCTTCCCAGATGCGAGCCAAGCATTTTGCTATATTGCTTAACTCAGTTGCATTAGAGTTTGCCTGTCTGTATATCTCGTACACAATTCTCCGGTCAGTAAATACATCAATCAAATTGTATTCTATGCAAGTTTACATAAAGTCTGCATGTAAAACATTATATGTTCAGTTAGAATATCACACATGAACGTAGTTGTCCACTGGCTGAATGAATAACTGGTCTTTTTCATTATTAACGTAACACACATTTTTTGCATTGTCCAGTTAATGGAGGTTATTATCAACGACGGTAATTTATCTGCGCATGAGCAGTGAGAAGTCAAATCACAGTAACAGCGGGAATGAAAACTTCTGTGTTTTAACAAATGTTTTGTGTTTTAAGTAACAATGTAAGTAATGGTGTTACTCTTTATATTAGTTATAAACAGCCGTAAATCAAATAGCCTAAGATCAGTTCCAATGTCCCATTGCCATCCTTTGAGGTTTGGTCAAATCGTGATTGAATATTCAGAAAGTTGACTGAAGCTATGTATTCCTTACATTTCCGGGTACTCGATTCCGATTCGGGTAAGTACATGCGGGTACTCGATTCCAATTTTTCCTACCCGTCCCAGCCCTATTGTCAACTGTGCAATACTCTTTCAATAGTCTAGTCCTAGCATTGAAATCACCCATAAGTAAAATGTAATCACTCTTAGCAAGCATTTGTAAAATAAGTTGTTCTACAAGGGGAAACATATCGTCTTTTGCATATCTAGAACTATCTGGTCGTAAATACACATTACCTAGATAAAGATCATTATCAACATTGAGCAATTCTTTAGATATTCTATACCAGATAACATATTCACATTCATGGTTATATAATGAGATATGGTCAGAAAAGGTGTTTCTTACTGCTAACCCAATACCACCAGACTTCCTACGGAAGCCTGGTCTATGGTGAAGATATAATTTGTAGCCTTCAATTTCTAGCTCATCAAGCGAATCTGTTTTTGTTTCTTGTAGGCAAATTATATCAGCACTGTTTAATAGAGACGTGAATTCAGGATACTGCAGTTTTCTTCTTAGCCCACATACATTTAGATTGATAAATTTTAGTTTACTGGCAGAACTTGATGAATCATCATTAGTTGCAGTTTCATTACTAAACTGGTTAATTGATGTAGGTTGTGTCTGTGGTATACTATATTCTCCAGCTTCAGCGGTGTGAACTGACTTAAGGGAAGTTGTGCTGGTGTGGAGTTCATCAGTCTGGCTAGTGGAATTATTATCATAAGCATGTATCATAGTTTCTGATGATAATTCTGACACATCAATGGTGTTTATGTTCATTACAGATTCATCATTTACATCATTTGTCAAAGTGTTGTGATCATAGCTAGCATCTTCATTGTTAAATGCAGCATCAATGTTACTAGCATCATTCATATGGGTTGAGGATTCATATACACAAATGTTTTTATCTGAGAGACATGGATTTTCAGGGGTAATAGATGTGTTGCTAACAGTGTTAGGTGGAGGGATAGCATGACTATCATCACTTATTATGGTATTGTAAAGGTTACTTGAATGGTGATCATTATACATACAGTGTATATTACTATGTGTATCAACATTAGACATACTTTTACACTCACTAGTGTTCACACAAGGAAACATAACACAATTAGTGACAGTCAAAGGAATAACACAGTGAACAGTGCATGTATTTACACTGAGGTGCATATCATTTACATAGCTGGAAGTATTCACAAGAGAAGATGCTTCAGGTGCACAAGTGTGCACATGTGAGTGCGTAGCACTATATGAGTGTTCCAGACAGATGGGACTCAAGTTCTCAAGACCACCATCGCACCCCTATGGCCTAGGGTGGGGCCTGGCACTGTACCTGGTAGAGGTACTGGGTGCTCTGTATGGGGGTGGCACAGGTACAGTTTGCAATCTGTTCTCAACATAGAGTTTGTCAACAGTGATATACGCCTTCTTATTGTCTCTCCTTGCCTCTCTAAGCAGGGGCATGAGAACATCCTTCCTATAAGTGCTAACTTCCTCAGGGAACTGTTCAAATATGCTGAACTGCTGTCCCTTATGTTCCCTCCCAGCCCTCTTGACAGCATCCGTCTCAACAGTGTAGATAAACTTCGCTATCATAGGGCGGGGTCGCTGGGTAGCTCCCTGGGGTCTCCTATATTGGCCAAGACGGTGTACACGTTTAAACTTGATGTCACCACTGTTACTCATGTGTAACTTGTCCTTTATGAAACTCCTCAGGACCTTCTCACACTCTCCATAGCTGGAGTCGGGCTCAGACTCAGGAATGTTAGTGAAGATGAGATTGTCTCTCATACTTCTACATCTAGAATCAGTCAGTGATTCCTTCAGTTTCAAATTTTCTAATTTGAAAGAGTCTTGTGTCCTGTCTTGAGATAGAAGTTGGTGACCAAGAGGCTGTCAAAAATGGGACACTACCTCCACATAAAGGAACAATATGCCATTGATCTGCAGCTGACAAAGAATCCTGTTCCATGTCAAGTGTCTTTTAACAGTCTAATATGTGAAAAAGGGATACATAGTTTCACTTTTTTTCACATTGGTGTATAATCTCATTGGTCATCCAAGATCGCACACATGGCAACTAATTGCATGTTGTCCGCCATTCTTTAAAAAAGTAATTTAATTAGCCAATAATGAGCAATCAATCCACTTGTGTCTTTCTTGGCTTGGTCATCTCCTACCCCACCCTTTCCACCCACCCCTACCATTGTCTTGCTAATTTACATGGTCTGGTGATCCTCTTACGCCTTACATAAACAACTTGCCCGACTGGCAAAAGAGGAACACCCCCATCTACTTACTGGCGGTTAATACATTGCAGGAAAGATCTTGTTTTAACACAGGTACTTAACGACAGGGTGTAATCAGTATAGATTAGTAAATCTACATACATAAATACTACCTTTTGGCAAATCCGCTGTGCAAGATAAAAGTAATTAATCAATCAGCCTGTTATCGGTTAATCCTTTGATCAATGTTTGTTTTTGTATCTCAGCTGATAATTCGTCTTGCTGCACTTCCATGCGCATATTACATAACATGTAATACATTTGTCACATCAGACCTTAATTCATAATGCTGAGTATTTACTCCAGACACACGAAATGCGAAATGGGAACGTTTGTCGGGTAATCTGAGTGGAATTACCATCATACCTGTTATAAATTCATTAACTGACCATCAAGTGAAAGATGACAAATAACATGTGTAGGTTCATACCACCAAACACTGGTTACAGCAAAGGGAGTAGTAATCGCTGAATTGCATGCAATGTCAATTGCCTGAAAAAACTTATGGGCCGACATTGTTTGGAGGATACGAACGGAACTTCATTGTTGCATAAGAAATACATATAAGCATTTGATGTGTACTGAAGTTAAAATTGTATATACCTAAGTAAATTTTCATTTGTCATAAATATAATATGTAATAGACATCATATGTTTACATGGCATTATTAAATATTGAGGTAAAAAAACACAGAAATAAGATCAAATTGGATCAGTCACTATGCCATCCATGCATTAGAAAATCCGAAAAGCATACACTCAGGCTTACCATTCACGGAGAATGAACAAAGTTTTTGTTAACATTTTAAATCACTAAAACATAGTAATGATGAATGTGATGCTATGAATACTTTATTTACAAAACTGAAGAGAAACTGTAGCACGGCATGTTGACAAGAAATCCTATTCGGTCGAACGAGGGACCACATTGTGCAGAATTGCAAGCCTGACACTGAGAAGTATGGACATAGGTTTGAAGCTTTATACAATAAGGGGTTTATGTACTACATCCCGTTATCAAATTTTCAAGATTAGACTCATAGTGACGAAAAACAAGTATGTACCAAAGCCTATTTGTCTCCCCTCGCCGCCATCTTTGACGATTTGTATGCCGTTTCGGGATGCTGTGACTGCCGTGTTGGGATACTATGAATGCCGTTTTGTACGTTCGGCGACCGTTCTCGCACGCTCTTGGAGCTGGTACGCGAGCTTTGTTTTCATTTCAAACGATTTGTCTTCCATTACAGATGTATTGTTTCGGTTTTAGAGGATATTGTTGCAGTTTTGGTGTATATGAGTTCAGTTTTGATGATTTGTTCGCCGTTTGTATGGTAGGCCTGACACTGCTGGAATACTTTATTGCAATCAGACAGGAACTACCGGAGGTATTCTCAAATAACAGTATCTGATGAGCATCAACCCTTCCTAATGTCCCGCTGTTTGAGTTGAAGAAATTTTGTCAAGGTGGCCAGAAGCCCAGACCCTGTGTCCGTCACGGTCAAGGGAGCAGATACCGACCAGCTTGCAGTTGGGTTTGGTAATTAGACTGTTGGCGAGAAACATTAATCGCTCTGGATCAGTTCCCCTCTAATTACATGGGGATATATAATGAGAAGAAGCATGAAAGTGTACATTCGATTTTGAAATGGCTAATGCTCAACTTGAACATAAGTTTATTCCTACACCTTTTTGGTGCAATATGCCGAAGGCCAAAGACAACCCACGAAGAAGAAATACCGATACCTGCAACGTCGTTTTCAAGAACTGAGACACCAGTTTCAAAATGGAATGTTAACTGTTAGACAGTTTGCTGATTCAGCGTCTCTTCTTTCACATCTTTAATATATTTATAATGTACTTATAAATGTGTATGTATATTTAAAATTTTGTAATATTTTGTAACATTTCGTAATATACTCATGCCAATAATGGTTGTCACCCCCTTCAATTTTTTTTATTGGAGAGGGTGTGTGGGGTGTGTGGGGGGTTGGGGTAGGAGGGGGGGTGACAACCATTATTGGCACGAGTATATGATGTAATATAACTATTTATAATTCCTGTAAAATGTAGCATGTTGTAACATGATAAAATAAAATCTGTCCATATAGTCTCCCGTTACCACTCGTGACTTACGCCTTCTATGTTGTTTATGTGTTTTATATTTCAATGTATATATGCTAAGTGAACTGAGACTGAAATAAAACACTATCTTTATACATATATTTGGCGCGTTTTCTCATTAGGTGTGCTCTCATTCGCATAATCCGGAATATCCTCATTGTCTCTATAATCCAATGTTAATTGCTAACGAACGGGACATCAACATTTCTCTTAAAGAACAAATAAACTTTGTTTTTTGTACTCTTTTAACTATAACATATGAAAGATTTGTGGTTAGTCTTATGCGGAACACCAAATTCATTCTTAAAAAACTTGTGGTTAATTAGTACCGAGCGATTAAAAGTTGCCAAAAAGTCGCCTGCTTCACTCTCGCCCGCCAACGAAACCACAGACAGGTTACGTAACTCTGTCGCCAGAGCACTGCAGTGACGTCATATGAGGAAGGATTTTCAGTTAGTTGTATATAAAATGTGTAGCAAGGTCGTCATTTTGATGATTTCTCGACATCAACGAAGACATGCCGAATCATTGCGTTGTCGTCAATTGCTCCTAGGGGTCGGGCGTTGGTGTCACTTTGCACAGATTTCCACAGGACCCCGCAGTTCGTGCTAAATGGGTTATGTTTGTGGGTGCGAAGCGATCGTTGGGGAAGCCTGAAACGATATCTTACTTGTGTTCAGATCGCTTCACGGAAGTTAAAGAATCAAAACTACTTACTAGTTGTAGTAACATATGTATATGATTGATGACCATAAAGATTTTTCGTGACACAACTTGTAACATAACGATTTCTGCCTCAGAAGCGAGGTTGTGGTCGAAGTAACAATAATACTGTTAGTAGTATTATATTGACATCCACCTCGCTTCCACGAGAGAAATTGTTATGTTATAAGGTATGTCATGCAAAATCCTATTGGCCATCAATCAAATACATATTTTACTACCTGCAGAAATTAGTTTTGATTTTGTAACTCGGTGAAAACAAACCTAAATAGCAATTATACTCAGACTGGCGTATGTTCGCGACAGGGCGCCGCCATTTTTGAAAATCGTGAAGTCACGGGCTAAAGTCTGTTAGAATTAATGAGATTATGGTTCGTTTTCATCAAGTTAGAAAATCAAAACTACTTTCTACTCGTAGTTAAATATGTATTTGAATCATAACCAAAAGCATTTTGCATGACACAACTTATAACATAACGATTTCTTCAACGGAAGCGAGGTGGGGGGTCGAAGTGACAATACTGCGCAATAAATTTCTTGCTACATTCACGTGGTTAACGTGCACTCACCAGTATGTAGATACTAGTCAATGTACGTCTTTATATTTGGTCTTATAATCCTAATTAGTTTATTATCATACTTGTATGCATTTTGAAACTAAATAAAAAGCAGACGATCTGCTAACACTTATAGTGCATTTATAACAGGACTGTAATATCTAGACATTTTATAGTTTGCCAATGTGAATCATAATTCGCACACACGCCCTAGTGAGTGAGTGAGTGAGTTATTATTTAACGTCACATCGGCAATATTTCAGCCATATCGTGACGAGAACATTTGAGATTGAAATGGAATATGTGTATGATATAAAAAACCTGCCAACGAAGGGCAGTAAAACAACTAGAATATCACAGATATGTATGTAAAACCAGCAATTAAACTAAAATATGTTAATTTGAAATGACAATACAATATAAAAACGGACTATAGATCGCCAATAACTGAAGGTAGATCACCATACTAGGAACCATGGGGACTTACATTACTTTTGCTACCTACATGGATCCTAGTTGGATTTACACCATCCCTTCAGCCATTGGCGACAGAAGAGAAATCTAGCCATAAATTAAAAGCACACATATTCTACGATTAAAAACGTGGTAAGCCTAAATTTACTCTAAATGTGTTGGGACTTACGTACCCTCTCAGGAGGACAATAATTTTACAATACTTCAACCCCCTTTGAGGATACAGCCACTAACAATCTCAGTTGCTAATCTAAACTACCAATAATAAAATATATATCTATTTACAAATCACTCAACAAATCTAATTTTTTTAAAAATGCAAGAATTAAATGAGAACTGACATTATTAAAAAAGATCCTTCAGAGTTTTGATGTGAAATAGATATCCCTTGTGATGGAATATTCAATGCAGTCAAGCAAGACATGCTTGACTGTGATTCTTTCATCACAAGGGATACAAAACGGAGGATCTTCGCCTTTAAGCAAATATTCATGGGTATATCTAGTATGGCCAATGCGACATCGCCAAGATAATGACCTCTTCAAATCTGGACTGACAACCCAAGTAGGTGTAACCAATGTAGGGTTTTATTGCATGTAATTTATTAATACCTACTTGGGTGTCCTGA